ACGGTGTGTCCTCCCAGGATGTAAACCAAAACACAGCAAAATATACAGGCACCTGGCCCTCAGGTGTATGTTTCCTCTGGAGAGAATAAACAGAAATAGTCAGAATTTCTACTGTTTGTTTGAATCTTTATTTCAACATCTTTCCTCAGTAGTTTACATAACCTACTGTAAACCTTAATTTGAGGTTGTTTTTTTTTTTTTTAAATGATTCGGATGTTTTATGTTTTGTGTGGCTTCTCATAAAAACTCATCTCAAAACCAGAGTAATTGTATTTGATTATAGGTTACCAAACTATAGGAGTATAAAAAAATGTTTGGACTCACCATGGCCACAAGTTCATAAAATAATACTCGTAAAAATAGTGTGGCATGCATCACGCTCTCAGGTTTTCCTATTCCAATTCCCATGATTTGACACATGAGAGGGAAAGTCATGAGATTGACTGCAGGGCTAAATATTTTTGAGATCTTGTGCTGTCCTGTCTTTGTGGTGAATTTAATATTGCACTTAATGGAAATTATTATCTTTTGAGCAGCAGATCAAAAAAGCAGAATTAAGTTATGCAATTGTACAAAAAACTTAGCATTCAGTAAGTATCAGCAGTATTAGCATTTAATGCTCTGTTTGGAGACTTTGCCTTGTTCATATTCAAATATTTGGCGTAAGCAGATTTTGTCTAGCGATGAAACATTAGCCCTCTGTGTATAAACACTGTTGTAGGGAAATGTCAGATATAGTAGGTAATATGTGACGCTTCTCTTTTGGACAGTCAGGGAACAAAACCATAAACATCCTGACTGATAAAGGTAAAGAAGAAGAAAAAATACATCTTTCAGTTTCTCAAATGGGATTATCTGCTTGAATTATCCTTCTGTTTGTACAGGGTTGGGCCAGAATATACAAAAAAACACGATGTAAACAAGACGCCATAATTAACCCCTGTTATTAAACAGCAAAAGGCTCCAAACAGGAACCAAAAAAATCTCCAGGCCCGGTACTATAAAGCAAGTTTAGCATACAGGGGTCACACAAAGCTGGTTACCAACATCAACATGTAAAGTTAACACAGTCGTTCACCTATTACTATCTATCTAGTATTTAATGAAATTAATTTTTAAATTTCAGGTCAATCCTGGGGGGGAGACATGTGATCTGGCATTGTTTTTTCTTTTTTACGTACTAGGTGAATGTTTAAACCACTCCTTCATCATTAGAATAACCATGAAGTAAAACAGTAATCAGAGACTCAGTAATGTCAAACAAGAATCCGAAACGGCGCAAAGCCAAGGGACGGTAACACTTGTTGTTTGTTCAGTTAAAAAAAAGATCTTTTGACTGAAATATGTTTGAAATCTTCATTTTACCACATATGGCTTTTATTTATTTTTTTAATAAAGAAAAACACAGAGGAGTGAGTCAAATTGAAGTTAGTAATTACCTTAATTAGTCCACTGTCACAGCACTTTATAATCCATGTGCTCCCACATTGTTGTGTTTTTTGTTGTTTTTAATCTGGAGTGAAAACGAGGTGCCAAGAATGTGCTAAAGTTATTCATAGACATAATGAATTTCTAACAATTGAGACAGATGCAATAATGCAAAAGGGTTTAGGACCACTTATTGCACAGATACAGTATTTGGCAGAGGAGGCCCCGAGTTTGAGGATGCTCCCTAAAGAGTCCCAGCAGCCTGTAAGACTGCAGCACATTAAAACATCCTCGAGGGCATACAGAGCAGAAATCAGCAGACACAAGTCTCTGAGATGTGGAATATACATAATGCACAAGGAAAGAAATGTCACGGCACAACAAGAAAACAGGAGGAGGAGGAGGGAGAAGGCTGCACAGCAGCCTGAGCGATCGGTGGGTTGAGAGCAGGAGCTTGTCAGATGATTATTGACCTGCCTGAATGTGACTTGTAATTGTAAAAGTCGGCTCCTAGTGACTTCGGCTCTCCATTAATGCGATAGTTCCTGAAACCCGCTGGGAAATTACCTCTTCTCTCACTCCCCTTCCAGAAGATAAGGGACACTTCGGCAGGGCGGGTGCTCGCCAGAGCAACAGTGTGTGAAACGGGGTCCTCTATTTAAAGCGCAGCCTGTCGAACCGCTGGGCCTCTCTGCCGCTATGAATTGCACTCAGCGTTTTGCACCCCCTTGGCTTTCTCATAAGTAGCTGCGAATGTGTCAGAGGTCCCCATGAAAATGTAGATGAATTGCTGCTGAGGAGTTGGCTTCACCCATGTTAAAGTCAAGCCCACCTCAAATCGTGAGAGAAGAGGACAGAGGCCACTCTGAGATGAGAGCGTGCTACCGAGATTGATTCTGTGTGCATGCTGAGGTTTATGTTGGGGTTTTTTTCCCCCGCGCGCACAGCGCACACACCCCCCTCGCGCTCGAGACTCTATATGTCTTTGCACACAGCAGCAGACCTGTAGGAGGATAATTAGACGTCTTGGGAGAGCTAAGTCATGCTTTGTTGCTTTTCCACAAATAATGCCGGCTTGCATGCTTAAAAAACGGGGTGGGGGAATGAAAAAAAGGAGTGACCCAGCCGTGATGGAGTGATAGCCTTGCTTGTATGGCAGCTTGTACCATTATATAAATCAACACACCCTTGTTTGCTTTTCTTCAATCGATCCAACACGAGAAGCAAATTTGCCGGTCCCACAAGCATTTTTCAAAGCAATACCCCAAACAGAGTCCACCTGAGGTCTTGGCTCATTTCCTTCAGGACTATGAACAAAGATGTATCGAGTCCCACAGCACCTGTGATCTTTTACATCATACAAGCCTGGTCTTACTGCAGCTTAAAAATACTCAGGAGTAATGGGTACAGATTGCCCGAGCGGTGGCACGTGCATGTGTTCCATAAGTTGCGCTGGTTTCTAATGGTGAACAAATCATAAAATGACCGCAGCACAACAATAAATTGATCCCAGTGTGATGCTTGTTGTAGGTTGGTCGTCTACTAGTGCTGAGTGATTAGTCAGATTTTATTTTCAGCTTTCTTTTAAAGTATAAAAACAAGATAACTGAGGTAAAACTAAAACTACTGTGCTGCATTTAATTTCACAGCGATGCTCTGGTTTTGTCTTGGGTTATAAATCCAGCACCACCCATTTTTCTCCATCACTAAAAGCCCAAACACCCACGCGCTCTTTAGATTTACCTGAGCAAAGATGCAAAATCTTTATAGAGAAAGTAAAAGTTACACGAAGGTATCTGTGATTCTATAATGAACAGCATAATGACGTCAGCATCTGAAACCACTACCAGAATACAACCAGTTGGCAACTGGCTAAGTCGAGTCTCCTGTTGTAAAGAGGCGCGTTGCAGATGAGTTGTGCTCATCGGCACAGACCAACTCAGACTGATTGCAAAGTGTTGGTGGTGTCTCTGCGTTCATTATTAAGATTGCAGTTATTTGCAAACCGTTGTTTGCAAATAACCTTTGGTTTCCATAACTACTTTCACTCAGTCGTCGAAAAAAATGCGAAAACATTTCAATACAGTTATGGCTTAGAGTCTCTTGAAGAGCCTTAAAGGAGACTGCGGCTGGTAGCAGAGCACCTTGAACGATAGACTTTGAGGTCAGAAACAATTGCCAGTCTGGGCCTAACTCCTAGCCAGGTGACCTTATGCCAAATCTTTTTATGGTTTCCCGTTCAGGGACGTTTCCTCTAAGAATAGCAGAATGTTTTGGCGTTGAATACATAATGAATAATGATATCCCTGGAGTTGATGAGTAATCATGTTATGTTATACTATGTTATCACATAGTAATGCTGAGAACAGGAACCTTGAATTGCTGCCATTACAGCAGTAAAAGTGGATCAAGTGGTTGCTTCAATGAGGCCTACTTCCAACTTATTTAGCTGAATCCCACCAACTCATTTAAGTTTACCTCCATCTAAGTCCAATTATATGAACTGCATCTACTGTACATGTTAAATTATTTATCTTTTTTTTCTGTGTTTACAAAAATTACTCAGAGGTTTCCAAGCTGAACAGGAACATCCATCCATCCATTCTCTTCCACTTATCCAATTCAGGGTCCCGGGATGGCGCTAGAGTCTATCCCAGCTATCATAGGGAGGCGGGGTAGACCCCGGACAGGTCTCCAGCCTGTCGCGTGATATTTATAACACCAGACAGATCGTTTAAATGAAGTCCAGCAGTGTTTTTATGTTACTCCCTAACATCATGATATGGTGTACAATTTTCTCTTCAGCAATGACAAAGACATTATCCCCTATAATTAATTCCTTGTTGACAATGTGTCTCTGCGCCAGTGTCACCCTATAATTTCTGTCACCACATTACACTCGTGGAGCTTATTCTGATTGAAGGAGTCAGCTAGAACCAAAAATAAAGCGCAGCAAGGTCAGAGAGGTAAGGTTAGGAAGAGAAGTTGTTTTCTCAGGTGGCCACGCAGCCTTTCCTTTTCCTCGCCAAAGAGACAGGGTGTCCTCTACCTCCCTCGATCTCTGCCTCTCTCCTTCACGTTCAGACAAGCCCGTTCAAGACTCGGTGATTAATTATTTACCCAGGCAATGAAATGCCAAAGCCTGAAGAAACATACCACCAGGAGAGAAAAGGTCACTCTCATCCTGCACATAGGTACAACACACTCACACAACAGTGATAAATGGCAATAACATCTCTATCGGCACTTCAGGCAGACAGAGTTTTCATGCCGATGTTCTAATAGCATCCAAAAGCAAGGGCAAGGCAAAAAAAACTTGAGTGATGGGGTGAAATCTTCAGGAGAGCCCGGAAAAAGCTCTGGTTCCTAAACCCATCGGTATGTCAGAGGTGGTAAACGGTCCGATCCACAGCAGTGTGCGTGTGTGTGTGTCCAGTACAGTAAACTGCAACCTTTCCTTGCGGTGAAAACGATCTGTGCACGTTTTGACACCTGAGAGTTTGCGTGCTCAGTTTAGTTGAAGGGTGTTTGTGCGATTAAACTTTGATAACTTTGTTCATGTCTCTCTGCAGCTCCACGACACAGCTAGCCAAATGGGGTGCCAATGCTGCCGGATGATTAAAAGGTGAGAAGTGTTTCCTCTTGTTGTGTGTCTGTTCTTTTCTTTGTGCGCCACTTCTCCGTCTTACGCAATCATCGTCCTTTTTGTATATTGTCACAACACTGATGCTCAGTAAAACCCCACAGTAATCAAGAAGAACTCCCTCAAGAACTCTTGTTACGGAGAAAAGGAGGAGGGAGGAGGGGGGAGAAAGAGGAAGGGTTGCTCTACCAGGAAGGGCTGTGTGTAAAGAATTACAAGAAAACTATATAAAGATGTCACACCACCTCCATATTTACCTGTTGGGTCACTTTGAGTTTGCTAAGGGTTTATAAGTAGTGTCATGCAGCTACAAAACTAAAAGACTTTCATACAAGTAGGAATTTGTTTTTCTTCCCAAAAAGATGATTTGACTAAAGTAAAAAGAGGAGTTTTGATTTTGGAATAGGCCAAAATGTTATTTTAGACAGAGTTTGGTGTTGGCACAGGGTTTTCCAGTGGGTACAGTTTATCTTAAAGCTGATTGTTTCTGTTTATTAAAAGGGTTGATCAATGTTCAAGGTTTTCATCAGGGGTTATAAAGTCAGGTTTCACAACTGCAGTATCACTTAAAAGAATCCCTATTTACAAGTTAATCATGCCTGCGCTGTGATTTTTAGCTGTATTTATAGCTATATAAAATGCTCACTCAGATAATTGTCTCCCACTTTTTTCCTCACTCTGTCTTGGTGTAACCGCTAGCTGAACAGGGATTGCCTGATCTTTTCTTGCAGAACAGCTAGGAAAACAACCCCCACATATATGATATACCGTATTTTCCGCACTATAAGGCACACTTAAAATCCTTTAATTTTCTCAAAAATCGACAGTGCGCCTAATAATCCGGTGTGCCTTATGTATGAATTCTGGTTGTGCTTACTGACCTTGAACCAATTTTACTTGATACATGGCGATCAAAAATCTGTCAAAAACTGTTTTAGTAAGCTTGCTAAGCTACG